GGGGGGGGGGGGGGGGGGACCTCACAACTGCTCTGTGGGCTAAAACGTGGTCCTGAGCAGCCTCCTTGCTCCTCCAGCAGAGCTCTGCAGCAGATGTCCTGGGCACGGTGCTCGGAGCTGGCGAGAAGCTTCCTGACAGGATGGCTGGAAAATGGAATGTTTTGTGGGGAATGCGTGTTGATTTCTTTCTTTTGGTCAGGTTTTTCTGATGGGAAGCAGGCTGATTTCCCAGCGTGCCCACGCCTGGCATCTCCTGCCAGCTGCTGAGCTGGGAGCCCGGGTGTGCAGGAGCCCAGGCATGGCTCTGCTCACCAAAACACCAGTGAAGGGTCCTGGCCGGGCAGGGGGAGGGAAAATTGCAGTGGTTTTCCTCCTCAAGTGAGAATTTGATGCAGGCTGTTTACGTGTTTGTTTTCAAACAGGCAACTCACAGGTTATGTGTGTGAAAATAGAGCAAATCCAAGGTCAGGTTACATTTTTTCCAGTGAAAGAGTCTGAAAAAGATTTATCAAGTGAAACAGTTAAATACCAGGATAGTTGTGCTTTGTCTAATGCCAAGGGAACTAACTCCTCCTCCTTCTCCCTGTCCTCAGGTTCAGTGGCAAATATGAACGCTTTGACAACAGCTCCTTGGGACATCATGAATTTGCTGGAATCTAGACCACAGAGCACTTGCAATAGCGCTTTTTAAAGCTGAATTGAATTTCAATGAAAGCAAAATAATCATCTGGATCCATCGTAGGGATGGCTAGCAAAAGAAAATCCACAACTCCCTGCATGATACCAGTGAAAACACTGGTGCTTCAGGAGACTGAACCGGACGCTGGAGGAGAGGATCGTGAAGGATCACAGCAAGATGCTCCTGCAGAAGGGCAGGCAGGTAGTGATGCTGCTGCCAGTAACAGCAACAGTGGGGCTTTGTCCAACGGGCACCGTGGCGTTGCTGATGGTGACACTTACATCTGCAAGGCTTGTGACTTTGGATCTCAAGACGTTCATCTCTTCTTCGGGCACTTGGACTCGGAGCACTCGGACTTCAGCAAAGACCCCGCGTTTGCCTGCGTGGCGTGCAGCTTTCTGGCAAATAGCCACGAGGGGCTCTCCCACCACAACGCAGAGTCCCACGCTGGTGAAACGAACCTCGTCTGGAGGGTGGCCAAGCAGGACAGTCGTACAACTGTGGAGCAAAGTCTCTGTGAGGACGCCAGCAGCCACGACCTTCCGGGAGAGGTCCCTGAGGAAGGGGTGGACGGCCAGTCTGAAATTATTATTACCAAAACCCCCATCATGAAGATCATGAAAGGTAAACCAGAGGCCAAAAAAATCCACACGCTGAAGGAGAACGTGTCGAGTCAGCTGGGCGGCGAGTCGGAGGGGAAAGATGGAGAGCATCCCTTCCCAAATGGGCCCGTGCCGGCCAGCCAGCCCGCCGCGAGTTCGGCAAAATCATCTCACATAGTGAACGGCTCCATCATAGGGAACGTGCCCGTTCTGCAGGCGGGTGTCGCACAGCTCGTGTCACTGCAGCAGCAACCTCCCTTGCATCAGCAGCTCCCTACGTCCAAGTCCCTTCCCAAGGTGATGATCCCCCTGAGCAGCATTCCGACGTACAATGCCGCCATGGACTCCAACAGCTTCCTCAAAAACTCCTTCCACAAGTTCCCTTACCCCACCAAAGCCGAGCTCTGCTACTTGACCGTGGTGACGAAGTACCCGGAAGAGCAACTGAAGATCTGGTTCACGGCCCAGAGGTTGAAGCAGGGCATCAGCTGGTCCCCGGAGGAGATCGAGGACGCCAGGAAGAAGATGTTCAACACGGTGATTCAGTCTGTGCCACAACCCACCATTACGGTTTTGAACACGCCGCTGGTCGCCAATCCCGGCACCGTCCCCCATCTGATCCAGGCGACTTTACCAGGCCACGTGGTGGGCCAGCCGGCGGGGCCGGGGGGGCTGCGGGTC